ACAGAACATAGCTCCGTAAATGTCGGAGATTGGAACCCACAAGCTGAAATTAACTAAATTTCCAAAAATCCATCCTCTTCTTCGAAGACAAAACTTTCACAAACAATAAAACAAAGGCCAATCAAATTTAAATGACTTTTTTGGACCAAATAAAAATTTAAATGACGGTCCAAAGCTCTCTAGAGAATATGAAGAATCTGCAGTGAACTGCACTATAGTCAACTCTTGATCATTTTTATAAACAAAAAACTAAAAATTAAAAGCCTAACTTATGCTTTGCAAAGATAAAATTGATGTCCTTTTTTTGATTTTCACAACTTTGATGAAATGTTGACCAGTCCACGATTGTCTAGATCGCCAAAGCTGTGTCCATGGCTGTCCACACTCGAGCTCTATCTCTCCTCCATGGCCATTCAGATCTCGATGAGATCAACGGTCATGGAGTCTTGTCGTCTCCAAATCTAGGGTTCTTGTAACCGGAGATAAATCTCCCATCACTCGATTGGGTTTCTAACTAACCCACCAAAAATGCTTGCTGGTGACTTTAGATAAAAACTTAGATTAATAAAAAGGATACTGTGCGAGGTATGAGATTTGGGAGCGCTTCCATTCTTAAATAGATGAGTCTCCGGTTTACAAATTAAGACTCTAATGAACAACTTTTTAGTTTTGAGTTTTTGCAAAAAAAGACCTCAAGTTCATTAAAATTGCAAGATACTTTTGGACGTTCAAAGAAACAAATTCTCGTATCTGAGTGTCGAACGACCAAACGAACTTCAATTTCGATGGAATTGATATCATTAGAAAGCTCCTATTAGTTACTAATGAGCCTAATATCCTAAAAAATCTCTAACTTTAACTCTTATCCCAATTTTACTTTATGTCTCATAAAAAATCTTCAACTTTAGGTCATGTCCTAATTCTACGATAAACTTTTTTTTGTTCCATAAAAAACTCTCAACTTTAGGTCCAGTCCTAATTCTACCTTAAACTTTTTTTGTTCTATGAAAAACCCTCAACGTTAGATTATATTCCAATTTTACCCTAAAATTTTTACATTCACATAAAAAATCACAAACTTTTACTTGAATCGCAAATCTGTCCCCATTAACCCTCAATCCAAAATTTCTCATGGAAAACTCCCAAGCATGAGTTGTTCGAGCGTCTCAAGCGCGATATCTCCGACCGCGAGAGATCGAAGACCTAGCGCAAGATCACTAAGGGCTATTTTGACGGAGGGTTAATGGAAAGCAGATTTGGAACTCAAGTAAAAATTGGTTATCTTTAATGATGCAAAAAAAAAAAATTAGAGTGAAATTGAAACTGAACCTAAAGCTGAGATTCTTTTATGAGATAAAAAAAAGTTTAGGGTAGAACTGGTTCTAGACCTAAAGTTGATGATTTTTTATGAGACAAAAAAAGTTTAGGGTAAAATTGGAACTAGATCTAAAGATGGGGTTTTTTTATGGGACAAAAAAATGTTTAGGATAGAATTATGACATGATCTAAAGTTGGAGACTTTTTATGAGACAAAAAATAAAATTGGGACAAAAGCTAAAATTTGAGGTTTTCTAGGGTATTAGGCCGTTACTAATGCAATCGGGAGTTTAAATTGCAGATTGTGTGTGCATTATGTAGTGCTAAATCGACTAAACATGCATTAAATATAAAGCAATCATCACTTTAATATAATCTCAATCATTCATTTATACGTTCGAATACTGACTACAAAACAGGGGATTTACAAATACGCCACTCCTTGTAAGTTGTAACGCTCAACCTACAAATTTTGCAATTACATATTAACAAAATTCTTTGATTCGGAGATTGTAGCAATGACTAAACGTCCTAATACTATCTGGTTCAAATTGTGCAAGTTTTATCAACATAAATTGTGCAGAAAGAGTATCAGTGGTCTAATAAAAAAATTGAAGTAACTAGATTTGCGTAAATCGCATGTGGCATTCAATCCTCGATTCCTTGTCCAGAGCCATTACTTGATTGTCCGGAGCCACTACTCGAAGCGGGAGAGGAAGGTCGGCTGCAAAGCGTTCATGGCTAAAAAGCCCTAATCCTAGAGTGGTCAAGGTTGAGAGTTGACTCCTTGGAGTTGCGAGCAAGCCAAGGATGGATTCCCAAAGAGGAAAATGCGATGGAGAAGGATAACGAGTTCAGCAGTAATGCTGATTTGGGGCTGGAGAGCCTTCTTTCGGCGACAAGGTTATACAGCAGAGAAAGGCAGGGTCTTTCTCTCAATTCTTGATTCCGCAACTTTTTCTTTTCAAATTGTTTGTATTAGAAATTTTTGTTATTCTTAAGATTGAAATCATTTTCCGAACACAGAAAACGTTTTTGGCCATATATTACTAAACAAAGAAAAAGTAACCATTTTTCTAAACAATGATTTTCCGGAAAATATTTTCCTTTATTAAGGAGTTTTCCTCCGAACAAACGCACCCTTAAAATCAAATGGAAAGAATTCTATACAAGTTGCAAGTCTGCATAACTTATTTATGCACTTACGACATTGCAAAAATCACCTTCAATTTATAGAGAACCCAACAAAAGATGAGGGCAACAATTTAACAAATCTCAACCCTCAACTTGGGTTTGATAATGAAAATAATGCAAGAATTCGACGGTACCCAAGAGCCCTATTTTCCCGAGGGAAGAACAGTAGAAGTGCCAAAACTTGTGTACGGCGCTCACTTTAGTGCAAAAGTTTTCGCCGGCTCACTTAAGTGCCAAATTGGAGGAAAAATGATCACTTAAGTACCAATGGCGAGAAATTCCGGCCAAATTAATCTGTGGCTTTCATAATTAAAATCTTAATCTAAGTTGGATGTTTATATTAAAAAAATCAGTCTACGTGGCATTTTCATGTGTATATTTTGATTTTTTAACTGGCCACTGGCCAAAGGTTGAAGAAGAAGAAGAAAGAAAAAAAAAGAAAAGAAGGAAAAAAAAAAGAAATATTTAAAAAATCGAAAAAATATTAAAATATTATTAAATATTGTCCCCATCAACGCCGACGTGCCACGTAGGACTGAGAAATTAATAAAATATGGCCACGTCAGATTTCCGGCAACCCGAATCGGAGTTGGCACTTAAGTGATCGTTTTTTTTAAAAAGTTGCACTTAAGTGATCTGAAAAAAAATTTTAGCATTAAAGTAAGCGCCGTACACGAGTTTTGACATTTCTAGTGTTCTTTCCCCTATTTCCCCAGTAGAACATATTCCGTAGATGCCGAAGATTGTTACCTAAAAACTGAAATTCACTAAATTTCCAAGACGAAACTTTCACGGACAACTAAACAAAGGCCAATCCTTGACCAAAAAAAAAAAACAAAGGCCAATCAATTTCAAATAACAGTCCACAGCTCGGGAGGAAATAGGAAGAATTGCAGTACAAGCGAAATTACATATTAACAATATTCATTAATTCGGACATTATAGTAAGGAGTTTAACTTCCTAATTTAGATAGAGGGAGAGATGAATCCAATATTGACAAGTAATGATAAAAGCTCTGGTTTAAGGGCCTTAGCGAGCATTTTTTTTTCTATTTGGAAAAGATGATTTTTAAAAAAAAAATATTTACAGAGTTTGAAAGACAGAGTAAAAGAAAGGTTAATACAATGAAAAACTGATACATTTGTGATAAATTTACTTCAAACTAATTTTTTAACCTCTAAAAATCCCAAATTAGTATACACGTGACAAATTTACCCTAAACTAATTCTTTGATCACCAAAAACCCCAAACTAGTACATTTGTGACAAATTTACCCTCCGTTAATTTTCATTAAATTGGATTAATACCACGAAGAACCACAAACCGGTACACCTGTAATAAACGGAGGGTAAAATCCCAAACTTGTACACTTATAACTACCATATGTCATTAAACTTAGCAATTTCACGATAAAATTTAATTGAAACTAACGGAAGGTAAATTTGTCACAGGTATATCAGTTTGAGATTTTTTATAGTTAAAAAATTAGTTTGTGGTAAATTTATCACACATGTATCAGTTTGGAATTTTTCGTGGTATTAATCCTAAATATGAAAAGAATTTTGCTCTTTCTAATGCATAGCAAAAAGAAGAAATTTCATGCAATTCTCATTGATTTAGCTTGAGGAAGCTAACATGTCACTTCTATCTAATCCCATGTGGCATTTAAGAAATACCTAATATTTTTCTCGTTGCAAGAAACTTTGGAGCTCCTCTTTTACTTGCGTGTCAAAAGATTTTAGGCCATTTTAAAGCAACAACAAAAAGCAATATATTTATGATAATCTCCTGATTATGATTAGCATCCTAATCTTTTACCGATCAATTTTCTAATAATTAATCCGTTCAATTTACATTTATAAAGTGAAGCATTATCTTTAAAAAAAAATTCAAAGACTCTAAATAGAAGCTCCAGTTAAAATAGAGATAATGACACAAATAATCTCTGAACTTTGACCCAATATGCAATGTGATCCCTAAACTTTTAATTTGTTCGATGTAGTCCCCGAACTTTAACTCAATGCGTGCAGTGTGGTCCCTGAACTTTTAATTTTATTCAATATGATCAATGAATTTTTTTGTACATATTCAATATAGTTCTTGAACTATATTAAAATATTTAATACAATCCTTCTATTATCAAAAGTCCAATGACCATATTGAACAAATTAAAAGTTCAGGGACCACATTACACATTATACATTGAGTTTAAGTTTAAGGACTACATCGAACAAATTCAAAGTTCAGGCACGACATTGCACGTTGGACCAAAGTTTAGGGACCGTTTATGTCATTTTCTCGTTAAAATACACGGAACGCAAAAACTTGAAAACGATAAATAAAAAAAAAATAAAATAAAAAGTCTCCTCCACCGATTTCATCTGGGCCTAGAAACTTCTAAAGCCCACGCGAATTTTCTCATCCCTTCTCTTAATTTAATCTTATTTATTTATTTTCTAAACCCATTTTCATCTCTCTTCGTTTTTTGCCTGGCGCTCCGATTTCTCTGCAAGCAAAGCCCGATTTTTCCATTTTCCATTCGATTTGCATAGAATCCCAGCAATCTGCGAAATTGAATTTCGAGTTCTTCCTCGGTTTCATTGGCGCAGACCATCGATCGAGTAGTAGGTTCTCGAATTGTTGGCGATGGGGGAATTGCAAATGGAGGACATGCCCTTGCCGTCCCTGTTCGAGCAGTCTCGCAAGATTCATCTCGCCGCCGCGGAGTCCGCCGTCGATCAGGTGAGCCGAGTCTCCGGCGTGCCGGAGTTTCCTTGTTTTTTTTTTTGGGGTCTCGTTCGTTTTCGCGAGCTGCTCCGTGAAGAATGCGGTCGCGAGCTCTTTGCGTTAACTAATGCGGTGGGTGATGTATTTCTAGGATGCTGTGAAGAGAGGAATCGAGGCTTTGCGGAAGTGCGAGGACATGATAAGTAAGCTGGGATTGTTCTCGGCCAACGAGACGAAGGATGATATCAGCACTTCTAATCTCAAGTATATTCTGGTGAGCAATTGCTTTCTAGCCTTTTCTGTTTGATTTCGTGTAGGTACGATGACTACGATGCTACTGGTAATCTTCATCGATGCTTTATCCTAAATCTCGCGATAAAGAAGTAAACTTGAGATTTTATTTACTAATTAGCGCAAGAGCATGATGGAGCTGGCGATGAATAGGGGTATATTCGCATTTTGTTAGAGACGGGCATCAATTGTTGCAAATGGGATTGTCATCTATCATGCTTAGGAGCTGTTTGTGCATTCGTTTGCGTGCTGAGTTACCGCAGAGGGTGGTGGCGGTGCTGTTTTTTGGGCCACGAGTTAAAATGTTTAAGTGGGATTCTCATTGTGTTCTTCTTCGCAGGTCCCTTTTTATCTGGCCGAGTTGACAGAAAGGGTTGCTGCTGATGATAGGGTACCCATTATTAAAGCCTCTCAGGAAAAACTAAAGGTTTGTTCTGTGGTTCTAATTTACTTCTTTGTGGAGGACGTTTTGAGATTGGGATATGCAGACTATAAGGAGGGGGGCTTTTGCTATGTTAATTAACTTTTTTTGGAGTTCTTGCTGGAGCAGGGGTATACAATGATGATGAATTGTGGGTGCCATGTCTTGCAGGAATTTGTGTCTTTTTGTGAAGCAATGGAACTTTTACCCAAGGAAGAGTTAGAGACATCTGTGCACGGAGGTTCAAATCAAATGGTAGATCGAAGAGCTAGAAAGGTACTGATGCATATTCTTTCTCACCTATTGTTTTTACTAAGCACTGCTTGGCTTCTCCAAATGGGGGTTAAGATTGATTAAAATTTTCGGACATTTGGAGCTGTGTGCTTCTCTGGTGCTGAATAATTTTTGGATACTTCCTACATTGAAAGTGATAAGTATGGTCATAGAGAAGTATGAGGTTTTTTTGGTGTATCATACCTTGACCAATGGTTCACAGAAACATCAACAAGCTTGATTTGGAGGATTAGTTCTGTATTCTTGTCTTGGTTGTATTGTGTTGGGAGTTTGGTTCATTTGGAAGCTTTTCTTTAGTTCATCGTTGTTGCATGCTATGCACAGTAGCAGCTGGGAGTAGTTGGTTTTTTTTATAGTGTACCCGGTCAATTGCACATGGAAGCAATTGGGAGGCAAAGACAAATGGTGCTGTTGGTGAAACAAAGTTTGTCAGGATTGAGATCCTAAGTAGGATCTATTGGAGGTCTTTGAGGATTGGAATTCTAAATAGGATTGGATCGAGGATCATAAGATCTTCGAAAATTAATAAATTAATGGTTCATTGTTGTTGCACACTATGCCCAGTAGCAACTGGGCCTAGTTGGTTTGTTTAAGATTGTACTTGGTCCATTGCACATGGAAGCAATTGGGAGGCAAGGACAGTGGTGCTTTTGGTGAAACAAATTTGTCAGGATCGGGATTCTAAGTAGGATATTTTGGAGGATCGGAATTTTAAGTAGGATCTGCTCAAGGATTGTAAGATCCTAGAAAATTAATGAATTGATACCTAAAATGTAATTTTTACATTGTATAATCCAATCACATGCCGATTTTTTTTAAAAAGAGAGAGTAAAGCCCAAGTAAGGTCAAGTTCTGAGTTTTGCATTCTCCAATCTCCATATCCAACTTAAGTATGAAGAAATTGACAAAACAATTTTAACCAAATGAATTAAGTGCAAGCTATTCAGAAAACACCAATGAGAGTTATTACCTTTCTATTCAGCGAGACAAAAGAGAGGAAAAAAAGATTCCCAAAAATGACTCACCCTTAAAATCCTCATCTTCGGGCTTATCATCTTCCCATCACATTGTAGTCCTCTTTATTAAATTCATCCTCACCAACATGGTTATTGTTCAAACTCTTGAATAAAGCAACAATTGATAATCTAATTCAGCAAAATCAGTAAAGAAATTTTAATAAAAGAAAACAGGGAAAAACTTCAGAAGATATGTAGATTAGAGCCACACAGCAAACAGAGAAATAAAAAATTAAAAACCGAAAGAATGAAGAAAGCTTCAAAATCAGAATGCAGCTTTGACCAGCACGTAAAGGAGAAGTTCGAAGGTTGAGAAGAGTCAAGTATTTAAAAAGTAAAAAGAATAGAGAGGAAAGCTTCAGAAAAATGGTTCAATCAGAATGTGTTGAAGTCTGAAGATTGATGAGTGCGTCATGGAGGAGAAGTCAGCGGTAGGCAGGAATTTTCAATCTATACAGAGTCTATTTGAACCAGTTGTAGATTCGTCAGCCCGATTTTGCTAAAAAGCCAAGTGATGTGTTCCCAAAGAAAGGGTGGGTTTTGGACTCTTGGACTAGTAGCAAGGCCCAAAATTCTGTTTCCTTTAGCTGGAAGAATGAACACTCTGTCTTGACAAGGATCATTAGGATCCTTGGTAGGATCAAGATCCTACAAGATCCCATGATCTTGGATCCTGATCCCACCTATTTGCGAATGTTGCTGCGATCCAGACACGATCCTAACAACCATGGGTGAAATGACCATTTAATAATGAATACCTCTTTTATTTTTTGGCAGATAGTACGTTTTAAACGTCAAAAAGCTGCTGAATCAAAGTTGCTTGAAATCAAGGAACGGAAAGAGCGGCGTGGGAGGTCAACCAAAGCAGCTGCCTTATCTACTCCTGTGGAAGCAAGAGAAGAAGAAATGGTTGATGACGACAGCGAGGAAGAGCGTGAGGTTGGTTCTATATGGCAGTTAGATTTTCGAGTTGTGAGCAAGAGCTAAAGATGCTTAGATGCACTGGCTCGGCATATGTCCTCCGCAGCTTATTAGTGCATTAGGTAGTTTGCTTTGCTGCTTAAGGTTTCTGTGTCTATGCATATGTTGGTTTGTGTTTGACATAGGAGCTTCTCAAGCTATCTTCTAGAAAGTCAAGTCACATAACTGCTGAAAGTTTGCCTTATTGCACTTAATTATTTCAATACTTTCAAATAAAAAATGAGGCTAATCATCATGTTGGATGCCAAATACTCGTGTTTGGAAGTCCATCACGAATCTCATGGTCAAAATTTCCTGATCTTGACATTACAGATGAAAAGGCAAGTAGTTTCTGATGTAGATTATCTTTTTCATTTCTTGTTGATGCTGAGATTGGTTATTTAACATTTAACATGTGCTTGCCTTTCCTCTGTTACCCTTCCACGGGGTGATACTTAATATTTTTATTCTAAATGTTCTTTCTCTCGCAGGCTTGGCTTATTGCAATCTCTCTAGCGATTTGTAAGGTTAGCTTTGTCCAATTGGTCATTAAGACCAATTTGGTCATGTTTGGTTATTAGATACTCTTCTTTTGGTTGTTTACTGCTTATGCATTGATGTGATGAGTATGCTCTTGCCATGGACATTGCAGGCTCTGGATTTACTAGAAATGCTGAAGAAAGAGGAAGAAATGCTTTCTGCTATCAAAGAGAAGCAGTCAAAGGTATATTTTTGTAGATTGTGCTACCTGAAGAATATTTGGACACATTGAAATGCTGCATCCTGCTGGTTCAGTCCCTAGAAAAATTAGTACTTCCTACACTAACGGGGTGCTGCTATACTGTTTTATCTAGCAGTTCTTCCGTCTTAATCATAGTTGACGTACTTTCATATATGAAATTTATTTTTTTGGGTGTTAAGATTCCTAATCTCATTTTTTTGAGCATTTCATGGTACTGCTTGCTTGCATTTATTTTTTATTTGTGGTGAAGAAGCCATGCAGGGAATTCCTTTTGTTTACTGGGTTAGCATGTACCGAATGAACATGTGATAGCTGAGGGCACCACTATGCCCCACTGGTCCTAATCTCAAGGTTCACCACCTTGCTGTGGATTGTTAGTGCTGACACAGAGAAGCAAAGGAAAGATTTTCAAAAAATAAAGTAAATAAAAATAGAGGGTGATATGTTGTTCTTCATTTGATTTGGATCTTCTTCATACATGTTGTTTAAAACTGAGGAGCAGGCTAAGCAGTATAATTAAGGAAAGGTATTGAATTTGGACCACGACATTTGTGGCTGTAGTTCTCCCAGTTGCGGGCATAATACGTTTTGTGCATTAGATGGATATAAAGAAGTGGTTTGTATTCACAGGAAGGGCAAAAGGAGTTCTCTCGTGCTATTCTGGATGAGCGCACGAAGACGGCTGAAGCTTGGCACCGTAATGCTGCAACTCGTGCACGATATACTAAACCGGCACAACCTATTACATGTGCTACTTTTGCACAAGATGTTTTGGAAGGTAGGGCAAACGTTTCAGATGTTCATGAACATAAACACCAACCCCTGATATTTGGACCTGCGAGTCTCGTAAATGGGAGTCTGACTAGCGAGAGGGATAGAATGGCAGCACAAGTGTTTCAACCAGGTCACCGGTATGCACCACTCCTGATGTTGCTCTTCTTTTTATGAAACTATTAGGGGATCCTTGGATGTTATCTTAGTCCTTGAATATTGATACTGTTTTTTGTGTATATTCCTCCTGCTATGTACCTGCGGGGTGGTTTTCGTGTGAATTGAATCATTTTGTTTGCATGCATCAGGATGCCAACCATGAGCATAGAGGAAGCTGGCTTGAAGGAGATGCAGATGATGCAGAAGTTTCAAGAGAGAAATGCCAAGTTCATGGAAGAGGCTAATTCCTCGTGGTACAAGGAGCGGAAACAGCCGGGGCCAGTTGAAGATGAGGACGAAGACGATGATGCTGCTCAAGAGAAGGCAAGAGCCTGGGATGACTGGAAAGATGACAATCCTCGCGGGGCAGGAAATAAGAAACTCACACCTTGCGGGTGAACACGGGGGGGATCCGTTCTACGTTTCCTCTCTTGCTGGTGAAGCTTCTCCTGCATGCCTGAACGATACCTTTTGCTTTTTCTTTGGTAAGTTTTGCAGACGAGAATCTTTGTAAATTATCACGGTTTCGGGTAAGATCGTTATTCTTTATGCCTTTCCAAGAGTTATGTTGCTGGGTAGCATGTGATTTCGGATGAGATTGTTATTCTAAAGCTTAGCATGTCTCCTGCAACGTTTAACACTGTTTCCTGGTGAACAACACAGCCTGTTTGATTCTAGAGAACCACGACAGTAGGGCTGATAAGGCAAAAGACACTTGCATTTTTATTTTTACGGGAAAGTCTCATAACGTCAATCCATAAACTTTTACATTACCATAAATTTAAAGTCTTATGGACAAATAAACAAGAGAACTCTTCGCTCGTTGTCATAATTGTTCAGCTTGATGTATATACCCAGAGACGCAAGAACACCACAGGATCAACCAAAATCGTGCCTCCATGGACGCCCAACAACGGGTAGCGTCCAGTCATCAATGCCCATATGCTCGGGGCTGTAACCTGCGATTCTCCTGCCTTGGCCCTGCGGCCCGTTAACTTTAAGGCTCGGGCTTCTTGGTGCTGGGTAGGTTGTCGTCCCTCCGCCGGAGCTCGAGGAATCACAGCCCGTTTCGGCGCTCGGACCTTGCTTAGTCGAAGGGTTCCACTGAGGCCCTAACGGACTCCGCTGCTTGGCCGGGCCTTGACCTCTCACCTTGGCCTTGGCAGACTGAGTAGGGGCCATGTAGCTCGGGATGTTGTTCGAGCTCGATTGGCGTTGATGCCGGGCGGGGTATGGGCTGGTATCACCGGATTCCCTACCAAGAAAGCCCAAGTTCATGTTCTCTGGGGTCACCAAGTCCATTTCCACCGTCTTCTCGGACAAGTCGTCCGTCGCGGTCGTGTTCTTGGTGATGGTGGGAAGCGCCATGTAAGGGTGGTCCTGCACCCCCAATTGCTGGACGTGGTACGGCTGTGCTGCCATCCAACGCTCGAGCCAGTTCCATCCCCACTGTGCCTTTTCCCTTTCGTTAGCATAAAGTCCTTCGTCCATGTCGCTCGGTTCCGGTCGCATCGGTTGTTGTTGCTGTGGAAAAATGGAAGAAAAAGCACATTAATGAACAATAAAAGTGAAAGATTAATCGTTTCAATTGGCTTTGGTCCTGAGATTACCATCGGCAGATCTACAGAACGAATTACAGTGAAAAGAGCCATTAAGGACCATTGAGGAACCTGCAAGTGTATTGTATAGTCATAGATATAAGAGCTATATGGCCACTACGGACCTGAATGCTTATGGCGTAAGCAAGAGCTCGCTCCTTCTTCATCACACCTTCACTTTTCCTGGAAGAATTCTCCCTCATCTTCTCAGAACTCCGGCGCCCGCCATCCCGGTTGTCCGACGATATCTCGTGGTACTTGCTCTTCGGGACGGGGCTGTTGTAAGGTTTGCGGCCCACCTCAATCGGTGCTCGCCGCTGGCCACCGTCATCGGCCATGTCGTGAACGAGCTTGTCAGGGTAGAGCTGAAGCCGGGAGGCTCGGACCCTGGCCTGGACTCGGACCAGGGCTTGCATGCACCGCATGGTCATCTGGGCTTGCTTGCGCACGTTGTGGCCTCTTACCAGCGCTTGTAGTCTCACCAACCCCTTCAACGCTCGCAGCGCACGCCGTGCCTAATCACAATCGCACATACCGTCGATAATTGAAGATGGTAAAATCAAATTAATTTCCTACCAATTGAGGGTTCATACAGACCTAACCTATACTATGTACTTTTCTCTCTCGAGCACATAAATTAATTAGATTAGGCACACAAGGTTCTATTCCCTAATCACGCTCTCAATCATATTAAACCACTTTATTTAATTCCCGTTTTAGAAGAGACAAGATGCGTGACATTAAATCTTACTAGGTAGCCTCTGTAATAGGACTGAATGAGGGTAGCGGCTCTCTCTTCCCTAGAATGCCGTCCGTAACCAGCCAACCTAACCACCTTTGCCGCCGCCTGAGCTGCCGCCACGGCTGCTTCCGCGGCCGCGGCGGTCGCCACCGCCACCGCGATCGCGTGATTCCTATCCTCGGTCACAGGGGTCGAAGCCACGCTCCCGTCGTTGGTGATGTCCGGCGAGCTCTCGGTCGGGAAATGCTCGACCGACACCACCTCCGGAGCGTCGTTCCGCCATCTCTCGGCGCCACCATCTTTCTGCAAAATCGAAAAAAATCAACGTCACATACAACCATATCGATCGATTGCGACTCAACTAAAGTTCAAATTACTCCCAAAGAATGCAAGATCCATGGAGGCCTGATGGTGATCTAACGTGAAGGAGCACATGAAAGATGGAAAAAGATGATTTTTTTTTTTTTTCTGGTGGGACGGCTTTTTAGATGGTCCGACAACAACGCTTCATGCCAGGGGGACCATGGGAGGTCTCATGCCCCCATGACCTCAAAAGGCAATGTCTTGGTAGGTGATATGGTTAAATGCTGCTTCTGCAAGATAGTCATTGATGATCTGAAAACCTCGAAAAGAAAGAAAATAAAAAAAAACGACACCCACCGAAAAAAAAAATTCCTTCCTAGCATCGACCGTTAAGCAGATCACATCACGGGCTAGTCGATTCGATTATTAAACGTTAATATAGTTTGTAATTGGGACACATGCTGCTTCAGAAGACACTAAGTTTCTGTAACAATTCAACAACCTGCTTCCAGTATCCAAACAGTTTCCTAGTCCGTGAATCTGCCAGGAAGCTGTCGAATTCTTTTGTTTTAAATGGTTTTGTGGAAGGATTAATCGGCACGAACATGTTTAAAAAACGTTAACTTGCACCACAAGATTGTAAGAGAATGGTAGAAGTTCCTGCCGCAGTTCGGACCGTCACGCTACAGCTCGAGGCCGGTTCCGAAAATGAAAGCGCAACCAAATGACGATTCAGGCGCAAAGAAGGGGAGATCATATGGGTTTTTCCCTAGCTTTGCTTGTCGGTTGCGATGAACGAAACGGAGCATGACGAGAGATCAATGGAGGAAAAAGCCAAATTACCCTCTTCGCAGGCAACTCCTTAGGAGAAGAAGATCTGAAAGCCTTCTTCACGGACGAGAACCAGCCGCTTCCTTTCTTTCCCATCTCCTACACGGGAAAGATCAATGCTTTATCCTTGGATAATTGCCTCTCGTAACCATTACTGCATGAACCAAAACGCGCGGGAACATACAGAAATCTGGTTAAAATCAAGAAGCATTGCGCGAACCCCGGAGACCGCACAAACCCATCAGGAAAACGAGACACCAAATCTGCTCAAAAGCTCGAAAAGAGACGGGGACTTGCGACAGTCCCACCTCAGATTCGACCGAACCGAAACGCCTCTGCAATACCCCAAATGCAGGTCCAAACTCACACGCTCCCGTCGACGAAGAAGATCGAGATGAAGGTAGAAGAGAGAGTGGACGCAAGAGAAGGAGACGTGGGCGCACCTGAGAGATTGAGTGGGGCTGGATGCACTCAGAGCACGATCTCGCTCATTCGACATGCATTCGGGGGACTGTCGCTCTGATCCCAGAAGCGCATGCAGAGCGAGGCGTGTCAATCTAGATCTCTAGTGAAGCACAGAGAGAGAGAGAGAGAGAGAGAGAGAGAGAGAGAGAGAGAGAGAAGAAGATGAAGATGAAGAAGAAGATGAAGAGGAAGAAGAAGAAGGACCAAGGAAGGTATGTGAGAGCAGTAACTGCCGTCCCGCGCGCTCGCCGTCAGTATTTATCGGAGTCACGAGCCGGCCCGCGAGCTCGATCGCGCGCGCGCACCCGGGGCACGGCCGAGGGCCGAGGCCCAATGGGCGGCCGACACGTGGCCCCCCGGCCCTTTCCTTTTTCGGTGCCTTGAGTCATCTCGAAATTTACAAAATGAAATAAAATAATAAAAAACCGGAGAGAGAGAGAGGGGAAAAAAAATCCGACAGAGGTTGGACTTTGAATGCGGACGCACAGGTTGCCTTCCTCGTCGTATGCGATTTTGGCACAATTATTCTCTTCACGCTAGTTGTTTTTTCTCCTTGGTTTTTTTATCTTTATTTTAGGGAAAAAAAAAGGGGCAAGATGTAACGTGTTTTTTTTTGCCCTTTCATTACCTCCCTGAATAATGCGTATTTTTTTTTAGGGCTAATTCGAAAAAAAAATACCAACTTTACCTTGAGTGACAATTCTGGCCCGAACTTCTTTTTTGTCTCGATAAAAAGCATCAAATTTTACTCGAATCCCAAATCCGGCCCCCCTAGTGTAAAATTTTCAAATTGTTCGAGCTAGATTCGAGATTTAAGTAAAAATTAGTGATTTTTTACGAAACAAAAAAAAATAGTTTTGGCCAAAATTGCCACTCAAGGTAAAGTTGATGTTTTTTTTTTTTTCGAATTAGGCAATTTCTTATACCCTTTTTCTGGTCAACTTTACTACCTAGATCATGTCAAGTAAATGAGGAGAGAAATTTGCTCCTGTGGTTACTCCCCCCATTGCGAGCCCTTTTCTCCATGATTTGATCTATAGCAAAAGGGAGAAAAAAGGGGGAAAAGAAGGATAATCTTTATTTGGAAACTTGTAATTATGCGTAAGCAGAAGGATGATCATATCATTTCTATCTAGATATGGAAGCCACCAATATTGAATTATTAGCATAATATTTCTCGTTTCTAGTTTTGAACCTTATGACCAATGACTTATGCATTAAACAAGTGAATGGATCTTGCTAACATGATCTTGACTCGTGTTGTTAGATTGAGTATGAGTGGAGTATAAGACATCTGAGCATCATTGTATTGTAAAATATTAGAGGTAAATGGACAGTGCAAAGTAATGTCAACAACACATTCAATCAATCCAAAAAAAAAAATCTAGAATTTTCCTAAGTTCTTTTCATATCTACTCTATTCCCTACCCCTATTAAAATTTTTTTTTTTCATCACCCATTTTGTAGGAATTTCCTTTTTACTGCTCCCTTTCCTAAAGCCCATTTTGAAAGCACTACCACTTTTTTTTTTTTGGGCCCATTTTCATATATATTTTCTTTTAATTTGTTGACCAAGAAAAAAGAAATCTTGAATTCAGGTTGCTGAGCTGCGAAGCTTGAATATATTTCCCCCGCGGTTGCAACCTCTTTGTGCGTGTGTGGTTGAGGTTCTTCAAAAGGTGTGAAAATGAAGAGATTATATGCGAGTAAAGTTAGCTGATATGGTGCAATCGCTTTCGTGTAAAGGGAAAAAAAACAATAATTGAAGCCAAAAAAAGGGAGAGGGAGGGTTACATTCATTAGGAAGGAGAAGAGTCTTAGTTTTGCAACTTACCTCCTTTTTGGATTGGATGGAGAGAGTTGGGTAACACTCACCTCTCATCCGAACCCATTTATTCGATTTTGCTCTCTATGTCATTTGCTCTAAAGATCCACAGTTGCAACCATGTATATATTTTGGTCCTAGAATAGCATGTGTATGAATGGTGTATTCAATCTCTTTTCCTATCTGTTTCTATTGAAATCCGAATGGCGAAATGAAGTGATATCGATTCCTTTTGCCTCGAACCTTACTTACTTTGGGATAAACCCGGTGGCAAGGGCGTTTCCATGCTTTTGAACCGGTAATCGATGATTGCAAATCCGATCCTTGCCTTGAGAAAATCCAGATTTAAGTGAGGGTCGACATGACTATGGATTGTTGTGCTAGTTCTCTTTCAGGTAGCCGGTTAATTGCAACAGTGTCCTTAAATTGTAAGGATAGAGATTTTATTATAAAAAAAAATTTCAATGGGGCGACTCCACCTCAAGGAGTTTGAAAAGCTAATTAGACCTATTTGAAAATTTTAAAAATAAAATCAATGAGGCTACTCCACCTCAAGGAGTTTGAAAAGCTAATTAGACCTATTTGATATTGTGGGGCACAGACATTTAATGAGCGGTGGTCAACCACCTAAAATTGGAAATCTCAACTACTAATCGTAATTTTAGCTATTGATTGGACATTAACACCTTGACCAATCCCCAAAATTCCCAAATTCCTTTGCTTTTTTTGCCTAGTAGTGCATGAGATATTGTCTCACCCATTTTTTTTATTCCGAGCCAAAAACCCTATAATCTAATCGAATCCCATCAACACGCCATTTTCGGTCAACACAACAAGCTTATCCTCGTTATCTGAAAGGCATACACACCTAAATGAAATTAAATGAAATGACAAGCTAGTACTACCGCACTCGAGGGACACCCAATTACTTCGGCACGTAATTAATAATATTCAACAGGCTTTCCCGACCCCGGCATGATCTACACACCTTTTGGACAAATGGGCCTTTCGACGGGGCGAGGCCCCGACCCGAGAGAGGCAATAAGTGGAGATTAAAATTTTTTTAAAAAATAAACCACCACCCGAGTTTTTCTCTCTCTTTTCCTATTTTCCACTTAAATTACACACATAAAAAAAAAGAAGAGCTAAATGCACGTGATTAATAAATTATACGAGGAGAGTGCCGGGGGGGCTGAAATTTTGTACATTAGAAGATGTCGCAATTTCACCTAATTTTAAACGAAATAAAAATAATGAAAAATGACCCGAAAATGGTCTTCTCTGGCACGCTTTTCCGTCTGTCACGTCGCACTGTGCTTCGTCCTAACAAATAATGATTGTTAAAGGAGCGAGCAGGCCAGCAAAAAAAAAAAAAGCGGTAAAGGACACCGAAAATGGCACGCCGTCCGATCAGAATCCCCGCTGGCGACATCGACGGCCATCCACATCTCTCTGTCAGCGCGCAGGGAGAGAGAGAGAGAGAGAGAGAGATGCGAAGGAGCCAACGAAGAAAGGAACCTCCTTTCCTCTCGAGCAGCGAGAGAGAGAGAGAGATTGTTCGGGTGCGGAGGCGTCCATCCGTTGCCTCCCCTTCTTCTCCATCGTTTTCTTGCCTTTCCCCGTCCCGCCGGATTTTCCCGGAAAGTAAGAAAGAATTTGCAGAACGAGAAGGGAGCAGAACAAGGACAAGGACAAGGACAAGAACAAGAACAGCCGACACGAGTCCGATTCTGGTTCTGTTTTTGAGGTTCGGTGAAAGGAAGAGAGTAGTAGGTGGGTTTTTCGTGCATTTTGCCGTCGTGGGTTTGTTTTTCCCTTTTTCCTCTTTGTCGTCCTTTATGAATGGATTTGGACAACATTGAGTGCGTGTCGGTTGTGGATGGGGCGGACGAGAGCGAGATCCACAACCTCCACCACCACCACCACCTCCACCACCACCCCCACCTCCACCAGAACAATCTCCAACCCCCGCCGCCGCCGCCGCCGTTCTCGTCGTCGAAGCCCCTCAATGCCAGCCCGCCCCCGAACGGCATTCTGGGCCCCGCCGCCATCGCCCCGGCCACGAGCGTCCACGAGCTGCTCGAGTGCCCCGTGTGCACCAATTCCATGTACCCGCCCATTCACCAGGTTTGATCGCGTAGTTTCTGATGACCCCTTTGCGTTTTGAATGTCTGTCTCTCTTCGCAGTTGATGTCATTGCGGTGTTCTTGGTTTCCTAGGGTGATGGTGTTGGTAGGCAATGCGATTTAGATGACGGATTCGGATTTGTTGGATTTCAGAGAATCTGTGTTGCTCCGCATTCGTTTCAGAGTAGATCGGGGTTTGATCATGCCAAGCATGGCGATTCGGAGAATTCCCCGTTTTTCTACAAGCAGATCTAGGTCTAGATCATGCGATACCGATGGCAAGTGTGTACAATGTGGTTGCTGTGTAGGGCTACATAGTGTTGCACAGGTCTAATTGGTGCTCTTAGGTTTGGCCTTTGTAGACAGTTTTAGGTCTCCTTATCTCGACTTCGGAAGGGGATCACTCAAAATTCTTTTCAGGTGGGCTGCAAGTGTAGTCAAATGCCTCGGAGAGAATTGTAGTGGAATAGGTCTCTATATACCTCTGAGATTTGGTTGGGGTTGAAGTGGGTCTTGTAGTATAAATTGGCTGCTCTGAACTCATTTTTTCCCTTCCAGTGGGACAGACTTAGTACCTCAATGTGGCCAGTTGTGTTGTCTTAATTCAATCTTCACTTCTAGGTTTGTCGCTTAGTCATCATGGCCTGGATATTGCATTTCATACCTCCATGTCACATGCATCTATAAGAGGCGAAGGAGAGAAGGTCGAATGTGACTGAAGGGCTTAAAATGAACACAAGGCTTTGAAGACCAGACCAAGAAAATCACGTGTTAGCCTCTGGTGGTTTTATCGAGTATGAGCCAATTGTGCCTTTCCTATTTTTGAGATTTTACTCCTAGATGGTTATAAAAATTTTGAACGTTTGAATAGGCATGGTCAGATTAGAAAAACCATGTCGGCATGACACATGAACTCATGTGCTTTTACATCTTCTCCCATCATAGAAGTCATTTAATTTTCATTTTTCAAAATTCTAAAGAAACTGAGTACTAATACGTTCATTTCGTCGATTGGGCCACGAGATATGTCATGAACTTTTGGTCTGTGTGTATGGGGAAGTGAGCCACTGAAGTACGCACCAGTCAAGGCTTTCGTGATGCAAAGGTACCATTGCAAAGTATTGAGAAGTTTAGTGCATCGGTTGTAGATTGTGCAATTGCATGAAGAAACTTCACCTAAAGTCAAACAAACGTGCAGAGAAACTTGCTAAATTTTAGTTGTCATTGCCAGGTTCATTGGTGCATTGGCTGTTTTGATAAAGACTGGGGGGACCATTCCCAGTAACCTAACCTATATTTAACGTTAGTGATGTTTTGGTTGTTAGTGTAGATTAGTTGGTTACATCTCCTAGACTTTGAATTTTGATCTGAGAAACTAGTTTTTTTCTTTTTGGCAGTGCCACAATGGACATACTTTGTGCTCGACCTGTAAAACGAGGGTGCATAACCGTTGCCCTACCTGTAGACAAGAGCTCGGTGATATTAGGTGTTTAGCATTGGAGAAGGTGGCTGAGTCACTCGAGCTCCCCTGCAAGTATTATTCTTTGGGATGCCCAGGGATATTTCCATACTACAGTAAACTGAAGCACGAGGCATTGTGCAATTTTAGGCCTTACAACTGCCCGTATGCTGGATCAGAGTGTTCTGTCGTTGGCGATATCCCATTTTTGGTCACACATCTGAGGGATGATCACAAGGTGGACATGCACACAGGATCCACATTTAATCATCGTTATGTAAAATCCAATCCTCGGGAAGTAGAAAATGCTACGTGGATGCTAACTGTGAGTTTCTCCTTTGCCCTCTGATCTTTTGCTAGAGTTTATTTGTCTAGGCTATACTATCCCGTTTGTTTTACTTATGGAGGAATGGCAATAACCGTGGAGTAAATGACTTGTAGTGTGGTTTTCGCCTAGTTGGTAAAGCTGTAGTTTTTTTGTCAGTGTGTTTCGCATAGCTGCGACAGCTATGTTGTAGAGCAACTCTCCTTGTGTGTGATGAATATGGTGGCATGGCAAGCTTATTTGCATCTTTTATCTGAAAAATGTTGTTGAAACCTGTGAGTACATTGTACATTCGTTCAATAGATGATGCCTGAGTATTCATTATCCGGAAGACTTTGCATCATTTCTCCCTACTGTTGTTGGAATTTTTACTCAAGGATGTACATTGCATTGCTATTTATCTGGTAAAAAATCTGTATCTTTTGTCAGGTATTTCATTGTTTTGGTCAATACTTCTGCCTCCATTTCGAGGCGTTCCAGCTTGGCATGGCCCCTGTTTACATGGCGTTTCTCCGTTTCATGGGCGACGAGACTGAGGCGCGGAATTACAGCTACAGCCTGGAGGTTGGAGCGAACGGCCGGAAACTCATATGGGAGGGGACCCCACGAAGCATCCGCGATAGCCATCGGAAGGTCAGGGATAGTCACGATGGCCTTATAATCCAGCGAAACATGGCACTTTTCTTCTCGGGTGGGGATAGGAAGGAGCTGAAGCTAAGAGTGACAGGGCGAATATGGAAGGAACAACAAAACCCAGAGACTGGAGTTTGCATACCGAATTTGTGTAGCTAAGACCAAAGTGATTTTCGATGCAATTTTCCGAATTAGAATATTTGGGAAAACTGCAGTCCTGTTGTACCTGTGAAAATTTTCTGTTGATTGTGATGTTTATTGAAGTTTTGAGAAGTCTCTGAGGTCTCTCCTGTTAAATGGATGATAAGCATCTTGATCATCATCGTGTGACTAATAACATTAGGCTCTGGAGTTGTACTCCACATATTGCAAATTGAAGTCATCAGGAATTCTCTCTTCTCTATTTGATTTGCTGGTTCATAGGTATAGTATTGTTTGTTCGGCGATTCAAACATTTGTCGAAACAGTTTGGCGGGAAATACGTTAATCCAACTTAGTAAAGTACTTCGCCGGCGAGTTAGTTGAGGTAATAAAGTGGCGTAAATTCCGCGCTTTAAAATGCTTGAGATCTCACTTTCAGATTTTGTTCATCTCCTCAAGTCTTGGCATGAGTTCTTCATTCTTCAGAGATAGGGAGAGAGGACCCACTTCAACATCTTATGAGTCAAATCAAAGAATAGAAGGGGGACTTAGAAAATCTCCATCGAACTACTGTACCAGTGCTTCAGTCAAAAGCAATGTTCCGCAAAACAGGCAACCTTATTTGACCCTGCCCTGGCCCCATCCATATATTGGAAGCCAGTCTTTTTCAGAACTTTAGGGATCTGGCATGGCCATCTCGTTTGCGGGACAGCTTAGGGAAGTGCCAATACAGAATAGAAAGGATCTGGGCAGAAGTGCCCAAGTAAAATAAAAAAGTAAAAGCCACCAAAAACCCTATATTTGAGCCGTTGTGACATATTTATTTTAAACTTTTTTTCTGTGATATCAAAAATTCCTAATTTATATATATGTGATACATTTACCTTCCGATAAAATTCTATTAATGAGAACCGTGAATGCCGAAAAGCAAATAATACTGATATGGCGCTCACATGATTTTATAAAAATGGCATTGTTGGAATTTTGACGGAAGGTAATTGTGTCACATAAGTGTAAGTTTGAGATTTTTTATATCACGAGAAAAAGTTTAAGGTAAATACGTCACAATAAGCATAATTTAGAAATTTTTTTTGCGGCTTTTTCTCAAGAAAGGAAAATTCCCAAAGTCTGGACAAAACAGCTGAATTTTCAAGTCTCGAGAGAGACCTGTGAGGCCAAGCCATAAGAGAGCAGCCGCCCTTGGCAGTCTCTTGACAGTGTCGTGGATAAGTTCGGTCAGATGATGGAAGATGAGTGGAATGTATTGCTCAAGAAGGCATAGTTTCCACAGATAAAAGGCAATTGGTTATCTAGTCAGCTCACTGGCTACACATAAAACAATAAACAAAGCAAAAGGCAAAGGAAAGAGAGAGAGAGAGATAGGTGACAAGTTTGAGTGGCTCTACGCTAAACAAATGAAAGGAGGCTGTAAAGGGGAAACCTTTTCCGCTCCTCGACAAAACCGCTTTTCATATGGTGAAAGATGTGCTGTGAGATTTACAGAGACTTTGAGGATGATGTGCGGCGTGCACCTCGTATACAGGTCAGATCTTGCGTGCTTTGCTTACGTATTTTACAAGGGGTACCCGTTTTTGCCGAAAGCCGACGATGAAAAACCTTTCAAAATGTGAGTAGATCGGTAAGTGACCCGACAAAGGTTGCAAAAGGGTCTTTGTTGATTTTGAACGGGAAAGTAAGAAATTTGAAGGTACGGAGACGAGAAGCAATCACGACCAGCCATGTAAATTGCAAGAAAGTAAAGATAATGATAATTTTGAATAAGAAGGTTGAGTTCTGTGATTGATTGGAGGTCCTCACAATGAGCCGACGGCTAAATACAAAGGTTATTGAATTTGAATAAAGAGATAACTTCCTAATCCTATCGGTAGTTACCGGAAGTTACAAGATCTCCTATTATTTAGCATACTTATCTATAAGAAGTTATAAAAAAATCCTAAATTAGAGGTAATAGAAATATGCATCCAGCAGTTATATTTTTATGTCCATTGCTCGCTGTCAATCAACTTCTCAAGTCTTGATGAAGGCTCTCGTCGATAACTTTCAGGATGTTGTAGATGACTTCCCTAGGGAGTTGTCGATTCCATTCAAGTTGTCTGTTGTTTTGTTCATTATTGAACAAAACTCTGTTCTCAGCGACTAAATCTGATAATTGTCTATAATAACCAAAAGTTGGCAATTTTAAGATGTCAACATATGTCCATTTTAAAAGAATGGAATGATTAATCGATTATTCAATTTTTTTAAAATTAGATAATGAAGAGTTATCGTATGCCCATTTTCATTGGTAAATTTGATTTTTTTTTCTTGCCAAATAGCTTCTTGAATTGTTTTCTTGATACAATTAATCCATGAATGGTGTCGCTTGCAATATTTTTTGTTTAAAAAATCTTTTTTACTCAAGAAAACTTGGTCTTCCGTTAATCTTATAAAGCCATCTTTTAAGAGTAAATTGAAGATTTCATCCAACTTATTAATGTTGAACGATTATACTTGATTCTTTAGCCCAAGCTATGTTTTTATTATTATTTTGACAGGCTTTAAGGATCAACAAATGCCAGGCTTGTTGAACATCATTTTTGGCACATTTTCAATGCTTTCATTCAGATCGGATTCATACTTTGACTCATAAATTTACATTAGAGCCATGTTTTGTGTAAAGTATTCATGTGATTCTTAATTCTCTCTTTTAATGATTGCTCTTATTTATACACTCTCGTTCTAATTGAAATAAATCGGCAAAGTATTGGCCTTCAAATCTTTCTCGCATGTTAAGCTTTTAACTCATTGAAAGCTAAATTCGTGAATTCTTTATCTAAGAGCGAAGTGAGGCATCTATTTTTAGCCTTTTTAAATTGAGCAACAAATTGATCGACTGGCTCACTATTATATAACCTAGCCAAATCAGCGATAGATACTTCAAGTATCGTTCTATAAAATCGAGAATGAAATTATGTTTCCTTTTTTGCCCAATTATACATAGAATTAAGTTGAAAAAGTTTTTAACAAAGACAAAGGAAACATCTTAAGTTTTAAAACTCATTCATCCGTACTTTCCCACATTGGGCTGTAAATTGAACAGTGTATTCAACGGTAGATTGTTCTTCTTCGCCAAGTCAGGGGTTTTGAAACCTCTTGGAAAATGCTAATTAGCGACCCACTCGGGATGTGGTTTCCTAAAAATATGTATGATGATAACACCCATGTCTAATCCCAGTGTTGTCGAACTGTTTCGGCCAATTGTGAAGAGTTTAAATGTGGATTTGGTTAGCCACCTTGGCCCCTTGGCGGTGATGCTAGTCATGTTGGATTATAAACGTTAATCAGCGTGTTAGGCTCAACAGGAATATTCACATTGGGTGGTATCCATAGAGCTGCTAGCCTTGCACTTTCAATAAATGGCAGTTACTAGCTGCTGACCAGTTTAATTTGTCAAATTATTGTTACCAATATGGTTATTTTGACCAACATTAGCTTGATTATTCCCCTTATTCTGACCTTGATTAGAAGATTTGGGCCTTTGCATAATTCTTATAGGGGTTGACTATTTTGACCAATATTATTAGCGTCAATAAATGGAAAAGTGCTTGGAACGTACCTGTTGGACAATCTTGGCCTCGAGAGGCCATCGTTTACGGCATTTATGACAATTGACTTGATCACATCGAATAAATAACTCACAATGTAGTTGGCCATATAATTTTGTTGCTCTTCAAACATTCTTTTCACGGCAGATACTGTGTTAAAATTTAGAGCAACATTCTTCATTAAGAAGCCTTGGAAGATCAACTTCTTTGCATCGATTTCCTTCTGCTGCTCTTCCAGCGGCCGAATGTATCAAAATGCGTGGCCATCTCATTACCACCTCGGGGTAACGGGTTGTTGTTGCCAATAGTATTGTCAAAATCTTATTGATTTATAGTTCTTGTCATCATAGTCTCCTCAAATCAATAAAATGTATCCAAGGCATGGTAAAAAATGTTTCACCGAAAAATTGACGGGGAAAAACTTTTCAAAGTGTGGATAGATCGATAAGTGAATTGATAAAAGTTGAGAAGTGTCATTTGTTAAATTTGGATAGGAAAGTAAATGACAAGAAATTAAAGGACGGAGAATGGAGGCAATCACGACAGCAATGTAAATTACAAGAAAGAAAATATAAAGATATATTTGCAGAACAAGTTGAGTTATGTGATTAATTGGGGTTCTTATGATGCATACACTTGGGTATTTATGACCCTCTATCGATAATTATAAACAATGGTTAATAAAGTTGAATAAAGAAACAATTTTTTAATCCTATCGATAGTTACAAGAAGTTATACAATCTCTTATTATCTAACACATTTTTCCGCAAGAAGTTATAAAAAAAATCCAAAATTAATGGCAATAGACATAACCATCCAGTGGTTATATATTTCTATGTCGATTGCTTACTGCGATGACTTGGAGTTCTTATAAAATACTGTATTTATGACATTGCACCGATGATTACATACAATGGTTTTTAAAGTTAAATAAAGAAACAACTTCTTAATCCGGTAGTTTTTTGTCTAAAAAAATCCTGTAGTTACAAAAAGTTACACATTTGCTTATATTATCTAGCACACTTATCCACAAGAAGTTATAAAAATATGCTAAATTAGTGCAATAAACATGACCATCGGGCGGTTATATATTTATGTTGATTGCTCACTTCAACGACTCTTAAATCTTGATGAAGGCTCTCGTCGATAAATTCACGATGTTGTCAATGACTTCCTTGGCAACTTATCGATTCCCTTTGAGTTGTCTATTGTTCTTTTCATTGTTAACCAAACTATGCTCTCATCAACTAAATTCAATACATGTCGATAATAACTAAAAGTGGATTATCTTTTGGTGCACACAGTAAGTGAAACAATCCACACTCTATGTGAAGACTAGACTTAATGCAACTCATTAATTAAATATGAATTAAAATGTTGCATTTATTTGAGCTTGAAGCTATCGTCTCAATTGCATTTTGTCTCAAAGTTCAGGACCACATCAGTTCAAGTAACAATTGATTTAGAACCGATTGTGCAGCATAATATATCAAATCATGTGTGAAATGAGCAAGGATGGAAGCTAATTGTGAAATCGCCTAGACGAAAGACTGTCGTGGAGATAAGATACCAAATCATACCATAAAAATAACGCGCCGTGACGTGATCATAATTTCGGAACACATAG